ATCTTTTGTTACAATTCATTCATTTAATATTAAAATTGTTTTTAAAGATATTTTAAAGAGAAAAAGAAAACAATAAATGAAAACTTTTCAACATGTTTTATTATTTCATTTTCAATTTTATTGTTAGTAAAATAAATTTTATTAAATGAAATAAAAAAAAATTTTTTTTTTTTCTCTTTTATTCTTATCTTTTCTAATTATCGTTTTAGTTTTATTGACTAAATCTAACTTACTGTTTACACATTTCAAATGATGCTAAAGTATGTAAAGAGAGGAAGAAGCAACGACAACAAATGATAGATTAGCATCCTATAGCATAGAATATTTTAGGACACAAATAGACCAATTAAGGGAGGTGACAAATTTTTGGGAAAAGTGTAAAGGATGAAAGAGGACAAGAAGAAGGGAGAGACAGGAGGAGAGAGGGGGAAAGGGGGGGGGGGGGGGGTGGACAAGATGAGGTATATCTTCTGTTAAGTTATTTTCTTTTGCTAAAATTTCCTCTTCATTCCATTTTCGATCATACCTCAATTTTGCCTTCTCATTTTATTTCAACTTTTTATTTTTATTTTTTTTTGTCTCAAATAAATTGATAACATTTATCATATCATTAAAACAAGATTATCACATTATTATCTTTTACTATTTGAATAGAATTAAAATTAAATGCAAAATTTTGGAGAAAATATTTTAACATTAATTCATTTCCATTTCTTTTTTTTTCAAATGCTATTAAAAAACATTTAATATTGGAAGAAAAGCTACGAAATGAATTAGGAATAAATGAAATTTGATTTGTAATAGTTAATGATAATAGCTTCATAGATAAGATAAATGTGATTTGCTTGCAGTGATAATTTATTGATATATTAATTTATAGTTTATGCATATATTTTTTACAAATAATTAATAATTTATAAAAATTCTATGTGATAAAATCTAATAATAATATTGAAAGTAAGAAATAGAATATAAATAAATAATTTCAGGTATTATTCATTTCTTATAAAATTTCCCATAATTAAATGATTATTACATTTATTAGCGTATTATTAGAGAGATTCTAATTTATTTATAATTGTCATATTAAAAGAATTTTTAGTAATAATTAATTAATTAATTAATCATTTAATGATTTTTAAATTGTTAATTTCTTTTTCTATTTTTTCCTGGCCTGTTTTAATCAAACATTTCTTATATAGCTACAGTATCTTTTTTCAATTTGATTAAAAATTTGATATGCTCTGTAAAACAATTATTTTGATTTTATTATACAAAAAAAAAGAAAGAAAGAAAGAAAAATGCAATTTTCAATGTTTCTAAAGTAACATTCAACTTTCATTCTTACTTTCTTTTTCTTTTTTTTTTTTTTTTTTTTTTTTTTTAAATTAATATTTTTTTTTATTTTTAAAAAAATAATTTTTTTTAATGTAAAAAATATTTTTATCTCTGCTATATTTAATAAAAATTTCTAATTGCATCTATTATTATCAATGATAATTGATAATTTTCTTTTTTTTTTTCTCTCAAAAAGAAGAGAAAAAGAAAACATTTTGTAGCATTTTGTTAGTTAACTTTGTATAATTTGCTATTCTTCATAAGTAATATTTCAATACTGAATTTCTTTTCATTTCAATCATTAATTTCACATTTTTCAAAGAGAGAGAAAAAAAAAATTCTTTTTTTTTGATTTGAAATTCATAGAAAAAGTTTATTTAAATTTTTTCAAATAGAAAGAAATTTTTTTAACACTTTGATTTTTACTCAAAATATTGCAACTAATTGGTTATTATATTTCAAAACTTATTTTTTTTTCTGTTATTTTAAACTTCAACTTATTATTATTTAAAGAAAAAAAAAAAAAAAAAAAACATTTGGAATTTTTTGAAAGAGAAAGAAAATAGAAAGAAAAAAGAAAAGTTCATCGAAAAAAAAAATATAATAGCTAATTAATTGCAAGCTAAAATAATAAGAAAATTTATAAATTCAAGATGAAATTTTATTATGTTCATTAAAATGATTGATTTATACTTAAAAACTTGAAATGAATTCTTATCAAATTCATATTTTTATGTAGCACTAATAATTATCATTGATATGAATATGAAATTACAATATAATAATTTATTATAATTAAATTAACATATTGTAACAATGGTAATTATTCAGTTTTTGAAAATTTGAAAATCAGTTAATTAAATAAAAATGTATATTAATAAAAAGTAAACATTTAGTAAATGAAAACAATGATAATATATTTTATTTCAGTAATATTCAGTAAATATTTATTTAAAATAGGAATATTATAGTGAAACATCAAATCTTTTCATTAAATCTTTTTTTTTTTTTCGTAGAATAAACGAAAGACAATAAATAAATTATAATTATATTTGTAAACCGATATTAGTATATCTAAACAAAATAAGAAAAACAAAAAAAAAAAAATAACGAGTGAATTCAATTAATAAAAACTTCTTACCAGATAATCAGTAATAATAATAATAATAAATAATAGTAAATAATAATAATAATAAAAGCTTCTTACCAGATAATCAGTAATAATGATAAAATAATAATAATAATAAAAGCTTCTTATCAAATAATCAGTAATAATAATATATAATAAACTTTATCAGATAATCAGTAATAATAATAATAATAATAATAAAAGCTTCTTATCAGATAATTAGTAATGATGATAAAATAATAATAATAATAAAAGCTTCTTATCAGATAATCAGTAATAATGATAAAATAATAATAATAATAAAAGCTTCTTATCAGATAATCAGTAATAATAATGATACTAAAAATAGTAATAATAATAATAAAAGCTTTTTATCAGATAATCAGTAATAATAATACTAATAATAATAAAAGCTTCTTATCAGATAATCAGTAATAATAATGAAATACGAAAAAAGCAAATAAAGAAAATAGGCCCATAAGATTGCATTATCTTTTTCATTTTTGTTAGCTTTCTTTTTTCCTTATCAGCTTTCTTCTTTCCTTATCGTATACCTTATCATCACATATTCTAACAATATATATTTCATTATTATTCAGTAATTATATGCAAACGATATATTATATGGAATTTAAAAAATTTTAAATTAATTGATATCTTATGAATCAGTAACAAGTGAAAAGTAAAGAAGAAATGAAAAAAAAAACTGATTCCTTCCGGAAATTAAAAGTATTTCTTTTTAAATTATAAAGTTTTCAATTCCAAATTTGTTATTTTCGAGTATTTTTTCATTTTTTTTTCTCTTTTTTTATGACCAATGACAAATATAAATGAAAAATAAATAAACAACAAGGATAATTTTTTTTTTTTTTTCACTTAAAATATTTTTTTTTTTATATATTTATTAAATTAATAAAAAATGGAAAATTTTTTTCATCTATAAATTTATGAAAAAAAGAAATAAATGATTAGTTTGATTTTTTTTCTCATTATTTTTTTATTATAATTAATTATTAACGAAATGAAGGAAGTCACTAATACTTAATTTTAAAAATTTAAAAAAAAAAAAAAAATAATTTTAAAAATTAAGTATTAATGACTTCCTTCATTTCGTTTCTTCTATTTGTTTCTAAAAGTAATAAGTAATAACAATTAAATCGATAATTAATAATAATTATTTTTGCTATTATTATTTTAATTAATAAAAATTTTTTAAACATTTATAATAAATATATAATTGAAAATAAGAGAAATGCTTATGTAAAAATAAAAAAGAGCAATAAAAGTTGGAAAAATTGATTATCGGTTTAAAGAAAAACAAAAAAGTTAAATAAAGTGAAACATTGAACTCATACATTTTGATTTGATATAACTTTTTGATCAGTACAAATTGATAATTGATTAATTGCTATGCTGTCACTGATTAATGATATAATAATTTTATAAGTTATTAAGTTTTTTATAAGTTAGTACAAAATAGAAAGTAATCAGTAAGATGTAAATAAAGTGACACTTTTAAAAAGTAATAAAAAATTTTCGCATACTAAATAATATTAAACATTTCATTTTTTGATATAATATGATTAAAAATTTAAAAATATAATTTAAAAAGTGTAATTTTATTAGGAAAATACTTTGTATTATAATTTAAAAAGTATAATTTTATTAGAAAATACTTTAAATACTTTGTAAAATTATTTTAAACCTATCTATACTGTAGCAATTGCTTACATTTATTTTTAGAAGTGAAAATTAAAATTTCAAAATAAATTATTTTTATAATTTTTATTAAAATAATAGTATCATTATTAAACTATCATTTTTTGTTCTTTTCTTAACAAATATTTCATTTCATTCTTCATTTTCTCTTTGACTTCAATAATATCTCTCTTTTTTCACTTTTCATTTTCTTCAATTCTTTTTTATCAAAAAAAAAAAGATAAAATGTGAATGAATAAAAATTTTATTTTCAATCAATTTCGTTTTTTTTTTTTTTTTCTTAATTTATAATTAACTTATGCTAAAAATCTGCAAATATTTATTCATCCTTCCATAACAGTTTGTACTAATTTTAATTTTCAAAGAGAGAGAGAGATGGAGGGAGAGAGAGAGAGAGAAAGAAAGTAAATTTATTTAATTGTTTAATGTTCATTGGCTATTTTTATTTTTCTCCTTTTCTCTTTGTCCTTTTTCATCACTTTTATTTGTGTTTATTTTTCCTTACTTAAATTTTCTTTTTCTCTTTTTTCCTTTTTTCTTTATTTATTTCAATTTTACATTTTTATTTTTTGTTAAATTTTATTGAGAATAAATAATTCTAAAGAACAAAAACACTTTTTTTTTTTTTGTTAACAATACTTAAATTTTTTTTTTTTAGGTTTAATTAATTGTTGTTATAATCATTATTGTTTTATTGTTATTGTTATTGTTGTTGTTTGTTATTGTTAGATTATCTATGATAAAATTTTGAGATATTTCTCAATTAATTTTTATAATTAATTATCTGATTATATAAGATTTACAGAGGAAACAAATGAATCGAACATGTAGTATACAAGAGGGAAGCTCATCATCCATACCACATCTATCAATTATTTTAACAGTACGATTATTAATGCAAGGAAAAGCAAGTTTTCTTTTTCTTTTTTATTTTTCAAAAAAAAAAAAAAAAAACAAAAATTTTCAAAGTTTGAAAATAAATTTTAAAAAAAAAAAATTCATGTTATCATGAAATTACACTTTTTTTTTTTTTTTAAATATAATTATTATATAATATTTCATTTTTCTTAAATTCGAAATACAATTGAAAAATTTTGATATAAATTTAATAAATCATCGATTAGATAAAAAATAACATTTTTGTAAAGAATCAGAATTATATTATCTAAAATAAGCAAAAAATTTTAGAATTTTTTAAAATTTTTATTCAATTTTTTTTCATTTTTTAATTAATTCTTATTCAATTAAAAGTAATCACATTCGTATATTTTGAAAACTTTTGAGCTTTAAATTTTAGTAGAAATTTTATGAAAATTGAAAACTTTTATTTAATCATTTATTTATTTTTATTTTTATTATTTGAAATGACATCTATTGAAACAATAATTGACTAATGTCAGACACGCATCAATGCATTTGAAAGTGTAATTTCATCAATAATATAAAAAGGAATGAACTAGCTGATATGAAATAATGGTAATAAGGAGCATCACTGATAATGATAACTGATAACTGATAAAGAAAAGAGAAGATGAATTAGAATTTCGTTACTATTTTTACTTCTGTTACTGCTATTAAAACTTTAGCTGAAATTCGATCTTACTATTCTATTGAAGGGAAATTTTTAGATGAATTCCTTACATCAAATTTGAGAAAAATATCAAATTTCCAAATTTTAATATTTCATTTTGTAGCTTAATATTGAATAAAAAAGATGAAAGAACGAAATGAAATTTTAAAAATGAAAAGAAACATAGAAAGCAAAGAAAAAAAAAAAAGTGGAATGAAAATTTTTCCAAATATTCAAATGATAAAAATTCAAATGATATCATCAATGAGATTTGATTATTTGAAAAAATTTGTTATAATGAAAATATGAAAAAAAAAAAAAAAAAAGGAGTTAAAAATTCCTAAGATATTGTTAAATTTTTATTTTATTATCCTCAATTCTCTATCGGAATACTAATACTGAAATAATAATATGATAATTTACTACAATTCGAATTAATTCGAAGTTTCTTGGTCAAAATTCAATTGATTTAAAAAAATTCAAAAACAATTTTCTTGCATTAATTATTATAAAAAATTTTTTTATAAAACTAATTTCAGAGATTTTTTCCTTTTCTATTTTCAATTTTATCTTTTTTGTTTTTCTTTCATTTTTTTTTTTTTTTTAATTTTATTTGCTAAAAATGACTTTTTCAATCATAATTTATTGATAATGATTGGATATTGCATAATGAATGTCAATTGAATGAAATTAGGAATATGAAAATAGAAAATACAAAAAATAAGAATAAAAGATAGAAAAAAAAAAAAAAAATAAGAAGAAAAAAGAGGAAATAAGTAAACGATAAAATGATGAAAAAAAAAAAAGAAAAAAGAATTAGGAAAAGGGAAAGAAGAAAAAGTAAACAATTTAATTTACATTAAATTAGCAATTTAATTTGCATAAAATAACGACACACTAAGATCTTTCAACAAATAGCATTCATTCTTTTCAGTATAATTTAATAGCAAAATATTAGCCAAATCAAATGATCGAGAAAGATGGAAAGAAAAAGAAATGAATGAATAATTGTTGAAATATAAATTCAAATGATTACAAAATAATTATTATCACATAAATATTAATTACCATAATTATCATAGAATAATTGATGGGAAGAAAAAGTTATAAAAATAATAATCGTAGTAACAATGATAATCATTCTTATGATTAATGTATCTGAAATAATAATAATAATGATAACAATAATGACAATAGTAATAATTAATTATTGTTTTAAGATAACTCTCTACTAACATATTTTCAATAATAAATTAATCGTTATTGTTTATTATTATTCATTCTTTTTTATTTTATACAAATTTTGACGAGAAAAATGTAAGTAAAATAGGATGAAAGGAATGAAATTTAATTTATAAAATGTTATTGTGATGTTTATTTTTTTGATAAAATTTAACAAACAAAACAAATTAGCTGTAACAATCGTTTAATACATTGTTTTTATATATAATGATAATTTTTTGCTATTATTATTATTATTAATTATTGTTATTGTTATTTTTTATTATTATTAATTATTATCACTTATTTATTATTATTGTTTTTATTATTATTTATTATTGTTATTTGTTATTATCCATAAGATATAAAAAAATTATCATTGTTATTTATTGTTATTTATTATTATTGTCATTTATTATTATTACCATTAATTATTGTTATTACTGTTATTTCTTACTATTAATTATTATTACTATTGTTATTTATTATTATTATCATTGTTATTATTAATTATTATTATTTTCACTGCCACTATTATTATCATTAGTTTATTATTTGAGGAAGTTGGTAGTATTATTGGTAAACGTGGTGATCATATTAAATTAATTCGTGATCAATCCGGTGCAAAAATTAATATATCAGATGGTTCATGTCCGGAACGTATTGTTACAATTACGGGTAGCATTGGAACGATTAATAAAGCATTTGGCATGATTTGTGCCAAATTACAACAGGTTTAATTTGTATGAAATATTAATAAATTTTTTATTTAATGAAAGAAAAAAAAATTTTTTTTTAAAATAAATCAATAATATAAATTAAAAAAAAGAAAAACTAAATCAATAATATATTTAAAAAAAAAAAAAATTTTTTTTCTTTTTCTTAAAATATATTTATGATTATATTTCAGTTTATTTCATTAAACATACAATTTTATAGGATTTACAAGCTCTTCCAAATAGCATTCCAAAACCTCCGATTACAATGCGTCTAATAGTGCCTGCAACTCAATGTGGCTGTATTATTGGTAAAGGTGGCACAAAAATTAAAGAAATTCGAGAGGTATTGAAATAAATTAAGGAAAAAAAAAATTTTTTTTTATATAATTTCTTTTTTGAGAAATAAATTTATTAATAAAAAAAATAATTCAATAATCATTTAATCCTCTTTTTTTTTTGAATAGCTTCTTTTTAAAAATAGAAACAAAAAATAAAATAAAAGTAAACAGAAATGACATCTATAATTTATTTTATTAGTACTTCCAGTAATCTTAAAAATATTAAAATTAACCTAAATACTTTGAGTAATGATTGCAAAGAAAAAAAAACTTATACTAATTTTAATTTTGTGGTAACAATACAATTTCTTTTTTTAAATAGTCGCTTATTTTAAAATAATAAAATTAGTTAGTAAAACCTTCTATGGACATTGAATTTAAAAATTTAAAAATTAAATCAATCAGAATATGTCACACATCATAATATTATGGATTTGAAATTCAAAAAGAAAAAAAAACTAAAACAATTTTTTTTCATTTTTTTTTTAAAATTTAATTATATTTAATTGTTACAACCTTATTCTTCCTTTTTTTTTTTTGTTTTTTCAGGCGACAGGTGCATCGATACAGGTAGCAAGCGAAATGCTTCCAAGCTCAACCGAACGTGCCGTGACAATTTCGGGTAGTGCTGATTCTATCGTCGATTGCATGCGAAATATATGTCAAATTTTATTAGAAGTTAGAAATTTAATTTAATTTTTTTTTTTTCTGAATTAAGCAAAGAATTTTTCAAATTTTACCAAAAAAAAAAATTTGACATAGCATTGCTAATTTTATTTTATTTAAAGAAAAAAAAGTAAACACTTTGAAATATGCAATTTAATATATGCATGCATGTATGAAATAAAAAATTTCTTTTTTTAATCTTTTAAAACTTTTAAAAAATTCAAACAATCAATTTCTCATTCCATTTTTGTTATAAAAACTGATTGTTATTAAAAGTTATTTTGAGAGTTAATTAATTAAAAACATAATAATTTAATTGGCGTAAGGTTAAAGGTTAAGTTTTTTTTTTTCAATATATTCTTATAATATTTTTTATAGTATATTTTTTTGTATAGCAAATATCGCTTATATACATTGCTTTTCTTTTTAGGCACCAGCAAAAGGTAACACATTACCATATCGTCCTAAACCGACCTTTAACCCTACATTATTAGCTAGTTCAGCTGCAGCTGCAGCAGCTTCATTGTTGCAACAACAACAACAACAGCAACAACAACAACAACAACAACATCAACAACAACAACAACAACAACAACAACAATCTTATGCAACCTTAATTAATCCTTTGGATGTTGGTTTACTATCTTTTGTTTATTTATTTTTTTGAACTTTCTTTACAGGTTTTAATTTTCTTCTTTTATCCATAAATGTTCCCTGATATTAAATATTTTTATTCATTTAATTAAATTTACCAAACATTTCAAAGAATAAAAACAACTCTCCTCTCCTTGTTTTTGCTTTTTTTTTCTTTTTCACTCTGAGAAATTCTAAAAAAGAAAACCACTAATTTTCATTTTTTTTTAAGAAAAAAACCACTCATTCATCATATTTCACACTATGTTTTTCGTTTATTGTGAATGTCCGTCTATAATTAATTGCTAAATTAATTTTTTACAATTTACAATAATTCATTCTTCTATGAGCGTTCATTTTCATTTTATTCTTTTTTGATTTCTTTGTCTGTTTTATTTTTAAAGTAAAATTTTCAAGCAATAAATACAAGGAAGAAAGAAAAAAAAAAAATGAAATAAAATTCTTTTTTATTGCATGCTGCTTTAAAATTTAACCCTGCCATCATTTTTTTTTTTTTTTTTTTTTAAAAATCAATCAATATTAAATCAATTTTTTTTTCAATTCTGTCATTTCTGAATCTTTTTTGTTTGTGTTTTTCTGCTTTCTATTATTTCTTTTGTTTCAATATTTAAAAAAAAAAAAAAAAAATTAAAAAGAATTTCATCGCTTATTCATAGGGAATTAATAATTTGACAAAAAATTATTTTCTTAATTTAATATCTTGTTAAAAAATAATTCACACTTCTACTATTCATAATTTTAAAGTTTTATTCAATCTTTAATCTTTCAGAAAGCAAGCAAATACAATTATTTCCATTTTATTTATGAATGAAAATGTTTATCATTCGAATTTATCTATTTTTTCCAGAAATTAAAAAAAAAAGCGGAAAAAAGGAAGAGAAAAGAGGGACAATGTATGAATTTAAAAATTATCGCATTTAATTTTAGTTATGAAATTAAACAAAATATTTATCAATGAAACAAATACAAATAAATTTTGCAACTAATCTCATACTAATAAATAAAAAAAGAAAAAAAAAATTCATCATAAAATTAAAATTAACAAATAATCATGTATTGTATTTATATATTTTTAATTGCTTGCAAATATTATTTAAACATACAATGTTCAAAAATTCAAAAGATTATTCATTTGAATATTTAATTATTGATCAAAAATTTTTGAAAATAATTTTAAAAATCAAAGAAGGAAAAAATTTGCATACAAGTAATATTTATTTGTTGAAAAATAAATAAAATTAGACTATAAAAAGAAAAAAAAATCCCCAGTTGAAGCATAAATTTTGAGATAAATTGAAAATTGGTGAATTTAATTTACGAAAGTACTAATGGAATTTATCCCATATACTCTTCCATTCTTATGTACTACTTCCTTTCTTCTCTTTCGTTTCCTCTTTCTTCTCCCTCTCTCTTGTCACCATTTTTTACTTTTTCTCTTCCAAATTTGTCATTTAAAAGAAAAAAATTAAAAAAAAATAAAAATAAAAAAAAATGTCACTCTAATATTGTTAGTCTCCTTTCCATTAACATTAATAAAGCATACATAAATGCATAAATATATAAATACATAAATACATAATATATAATTACATAAATAATACAAATATATAAAATACATAAATAATAATAAATATAATAAATACATAAATACATAAATATATAATTACATAAAGATACAAATATATAAATACATATATAAATACATAAATATATAAATACATAAATACATAATATATAATTACATAAAGATACAAATATATAAATATAACATAATAATATAAAATATATAAAATACATAAATACATAAATATATAATTACATAAAGATACAAATATATAAATACATAATATATAAATATATAAAATACATAAATACATAATATATAATTACATAAAGATACAAATATATAATAAATACATAATATATAAATATATAAATACATAAATACATAATATATAATTACATAAATAAACTACAACGTATAAATACATAAATAAATTACAACGTATAAATACATAAATAAATAATACATAAAGATACAAATAATATAAATACATAATATATAATACATAATATATAATATATAAATACATAAATACAAATATATAATAAATAATACATAATATATAAATACAAAAATAATAAAAAAAAAAAAAAAAAAAAAAAAAAAAAAAAAAAAAAAATATAAATACATAAATACATATATAATTACATAAAGATACTATAATAAATACATAAAAATACTAAATAAAATAAAATATAAATACATAAATACATAATATATAATTACATAAAGATACAAATATATAATACATAAATACATAATATATAATTACATAAAGATACAAATATATAAATACATATATATAAATATATAAATACATAAATACATAATATATAATTACATAAAGATACAAATATATGAATACATAAATACATAATATATAATTACATAAAGATACAAATATATAAAATACATATATATAAATATATAAATACATAAATACATAATATATAATTACATAAAGATACAAATATATAAATACATAAATACATAATATATAATTACATAAAGATACAAATATATAAATACATAATATATAAATATATAAATACATAAATACATAATATATAATACATAAATACAAATATATAATACATAAATACATAATATATAATTACATAAAGATACAAATATATAAATACATAATATATAAATATATAAATACATAAATACATAATATATAATTACATAAAGATACAAATATATAAATACATAATAATAATAAATACATAATATATAAATACATAAAATAATAAATAATATATAATACATAAATACATAATATATAAATATAAAATACAAATATATAAATACATAAATACATAATATATATAATTACATAAAGATACAAATATATAAATACATAAATATATAAATACATAAATAATATATAATTACATAAAGATACAAATATATAATACATAAATACATAATATATATAAAGATACAAATATATAAATACGTAATATATAAATATATAAATACACAAATACATATATGAAATTAATACAAACAGGAAAAAAAACAATGTTAAAAATTGAAAGAATGTATGTAATAAAGGAAGAGTACATTGATGAATAAATATTTTTCTTTTTTCTTTTCTAATTAAATTATTTTCTTTTTTTTTTTCTTATTTTGCCAACAATTTGTGTCTTTTCATAATTTGTATGATATCATTAATGAAAAATTTTGATTTTTGGGATTGAAAGTAATTTTGAGAGATAGAAATGTGGAAAAAAGTATAACTTTGTTATTTTTCTTATTTTTGATAAATTTAAGAAAATGAATTTAAGTAAAAATGATTGATTTAATTAGAATTTATTGGGAAAAAAAATAGCATTTTTTAAAAATTATTTAATATATATTTATTAAATTATAGTTAAAAAATATTACATTTAATATTTATTAATAAAATCTTATATTAAAACTTTATTACATGAAATTATAATGTAATTTATATTGCTTAGTACCATAATTATATTATTTTTACTACTATAAAATGTACTAAATTAGATCATTTCAAATTTCATTTCTCTATTAGAAATGAAATATTTGAAATAAATGTTTTTCGAATATGAAATTTTAGCAAAAAGTATATTTTTTTTTTCTTTTGTCTGTCATTTCCTCTTTTTTTTTTTCTTTTATTATCAAATAAAATCATACATTTTCAATTCTTTTAGTATCTTTTTTAGTTCTAATAATTACTTTGTATCAATTTATATACTTTTATAAAGTTATAAAAATTTTTAAACTTTAATTTACACAATCATAAAGTTAAAAAAAAAAAAAAAAAATGAAAATTCGAATTTGTGTTTTATATTTCAGCTGGTTAGAGTAACTTCCCCCTATGTCACAACTACCCAATTATTGCCAACTGTGCCTGCATTGAACCCTTATACAGGTAATGATAGCATCAATACTAGTATTACTAGCTCTTATCACTATTGCTACGCTTCTTATCACTGTTATCACTGCTAAGGATTTACTCTTATCACTACTGCTCGCATTCTTTCTCTGTTTTATTTCTCCTTTTTAGCTACTTTTTTTTGAAATTTTAACTCATTTATTTCATTTTTTTTTTTTGTTTCTATTGCATGCTTTGCAAAATTTTTAAAACTTAAGAAAAATAAAAAGAATAATTTATTATTTATTCTTTTTTTTTTTTTTTTTAATTTCATTTTTACTCAATTTATAATGTCATGTAATAATTCATTCCGGAAATTTTTTTTTTTATTTATTTATTTTACTTTATTTTCATTTGCTTTATTATAATTCGATATTGAAGTGATTTCGAATGATTGAAAAAATATTAACTGATGTCCGATGAATTTGTAAAAAACAATCTTACTTTTAGCAATTTCTTTCCGACTTTTTTATAGTTTCCCTTTTCTGTTCCACTTTTTATCAATGAAATTTGAAATGAAAATTCGAGAAAATTCGAGATTTTACAACGAATTCATTTTTTTTTGTCTCAGTTAATTTTTTATTGTATAATTAAATAAATTTACACTCTTTGAAATTAAAAAAATTAAAAAAAAAAAGGAATTTGTACGAATGCTGTAACCTCTTGGCTTTTTTTTTCTTTTTTTAAAGATTTTGCACAAAATTATAGCAAATCTGATCTGCAAGATGTATGCACTATTTACACATTGTTTATCAATAATATAATTTAATTATATTTCATTTAAAAATACTAAATTTTAGTTGCGATTTTTTAATTTCATTTTTTTTAAATTCTGAATTATAGTTTGAAAAAAAAAGAAAAAAAAAAAACTTTAATATCTATGTTTTTTTTTCTCTTTTTTTTTTTGTAAAATAAATTTCATTTAATTTTATTATTATTTCATCGCTAATAATTTATGTATAATTTGCAGTGTTTGGAAATAATTTGATAACATCTGTACCGATAAAAACTGATACAATAACAACAGAACAACAACAACAACAACAACAACAAGCAATAAATTCTGCAGCACAATGGGCAACAACTGTAGGTTATGATGAAAAACAAATTGATTATGCTCAAACACTGATGATGAATTCACAATATGCTGCTGCTCTGAGTTTGGGAGGAAAGTAAGTTTACAAAAAATAAAAAAAAATAGAAATAAAAACAGTAATAACGATAAAAATAATAGTAATAATAAAGACAGCCATATTAGTAGTAATAATAATAAGTAATGATGCTAATAATAAGTAAAAATAGTAATAAGTAATAAAAGTGAATAATAATAAGTAAATAATAATAAGTAATGATGCTAATATTAAGTAAAAATAATAATAAGTAATAAAAGTGAATAATAATAATAATAACGGTAATAATAATAGCAATAGTAAAAAGTAATAATAATAAGTAATGATGCTAATATTAACTAAAAATAATAATAAGTAATAAAAGTGAATAATAATAATAGCAATAGTAAAGAGTAATAATAATAAGTAATGATGCTAATAATAAATAAAAATAATCATAAATAGTAATGGTGAATAATAATAATAATGGCAGATAATAATAAATAACAAAATAATAACGATAATAATACTAGTAATAATAACAATAATAATGATAATTAATAATAACAATAATAAAACAATAAATGTAATGCTATTTTTATCATTAGCATTCTTGTTTTATGATATAATGGTCAAGCAATATTTGTAGAAATTTTTATTCTGAAATAAATAAAGTTAAAGAAGAAAATTATTGAGGTAATATTGATGTAATATGTATGTTTCTGAGAAATATTCAACAAATGTTATAAATGAATAGAAACGAATTAAAAAAAAAAAAAAAAAAAAATTGCAAATTGAATATTTGTTTGACAATCTTATTTTTCTTCATTTAGTAAAATTATCATAGTTCAAAATTTGAAAAAAAAAAAAAAAAAACGAAAAAGAAGATAAAATAAAGAATTAGATTAATAGTTGATAGACTATTAATATAGATGAGGAAAAAATGTTTAAAATGTTGGAATTTTTCTTTTCTATTCAAACATTTTGATAAAATGTTTTTTTACATCTAAACAAAACTTTACGAAATTTTGATAACCAACGCTTAATTAATTTAATTTAATTTCTAATTTATATTTTCTTTCAGTTTTTTTCCTGGTCATACAGCAGCTCTGGTTAAAGCAGCCAAACAGGATCATATGGCTAGTCCAACACGCATTTCACCAATATTATTACAGCAAAATACTCGACGGTTTACGCCATATTAATTCAATTATCATATCATATACCTTTGGTAGAGTAAATAATTAACAACCTTTCAATGATGAGCTATAATTGATTAAAAGAAACTTGAATTTTATGTAATTTGATGCTACAAGTAAAAATAAAATTAAGAATTAAAAAATTGTACAAAGAAATCCACTTCTTCAGGTTAATATTTCATCTATGACATCAATTATTCAGATCATTTAAAAGCTGCTCATTTAATAAAATAAACAGTAAACCATATGACAGTAAAAAAAATCTCAAAAAATTGTAAAAAAAAAAAAAAAACTCAATAAATGGTAATTATCTTTCAATCACTATACATATTATCGCTTCATATAACAGATTTTTCCAGCTATAGAATTTACTTCAAATCGTGCATGTGTACCGCTACTGTAATTTACAAATAGTTGAGCGAATTGATTTTCAAAAATAAGCGAAACATTGAAACCAATATTAGGTGTGGTAAAATCTGGAGCAGTTATTAACATTCTGACATTACTTTTAAAATTGAGTTTTACTTATTGTGCATTTAAATTTGAGCAAATGCTCTATGTAAAAAAAAAAAAAAAGAAAAAAAAATCATTTATTGACCTTACAATATATGCTGTAAGGAAGGACACTTTCTTTTTGAAGAGAAAGTAATGATAGCAAAAAATGATATTCACTAAAATGATAACATCGAAAATGAACATTACATTATCAATTTTCTCTTTACAAATAAAACCTGACCTTAAGTCTTTGAAGTCATTAATGGTCTGAAATTAAGACCGAACTAGGATAATTTCTTGCAAGAATTTAAAATGTTTAGATTTAGAGAATCATTTAGTTACGAAAATAGCAAGTTCAGAAATGCTATTTTCATAAGCAAATTGCCATGCTAGGACATTTGAAACAAGCAAAAGCTGAATGACTGTGGGAATATCTTCTTTGGACGTATGAACATGACCAAAATATGCTCTTGATTAAAATAAAGACGAAAATTAACAGTATCATAAATGAGAAATTTGAAAGAAATCTAGAAATTTCAACATATACATACAGAAAGGTCACTATGCCAGTACTGTATTACTATAAGTACGACAATCAATTTTACCATCATCAACGGTTATTCCAAATGTTGCCAACCATTCGCATAATTTTGGTTCTTCCAGACCCAATCTTGATGCTAATATTGTTATATTTATTGTAGGCCGAAATCTATAAATTTAATATAAATGAATTAATAGACTTCGTAGACTTTAAATAACTTTGTCAAAAATAAATCAAAGTTTCCTGATGTTTCTATATCTGAAGAAGCAAAATGATACCTTTCAATCTTATTGGTAAAAAAGACCATTAAGAAAAATATCATAAGGAAAGTTTTATGAGATCTATAATAAAATTTAAAAAGGTAAATTTGCTCTTTTAATGATTATGAGAAAAAAAAAAACATGTCTTACAACCAAATAAATCCATCGTTTACTGATATGGAAAATTAAACCTACGATTTAAGACAAGCGTTTAATGCAGCCTTTCGCTCTCGTTCCAAAAATAAATCCATTACGTATGATGCCATTCTCGGCGCTTCCTGATAGAGTCGAAAAAGTTTTACATGATTCCCAAGAGCCCAGGCTTCACGAGTTTTCAACGAAAATGAAAGACAAGGATCTTTTCGTGCTTTTTCATCCAATTCACTGAGCAAGGTAGTTTGATCTGAAAGATGAAAAAAAAAAAAAGTAACTGTTTCTTGAAATGAAAAATTTTAAAGACAGATTTCATTCTGCTGAAATTCCAGTCCATTGTTCTGTTCATTTGATTGCATCCTCTATTCCACAGATAATAATTTATCTTATCTACAAGTAATTTATCCTATATATAATAATAACTTATCTACAGATAAAAATGCCATACCATACAAACAGTAGACATTATTTCTTCAGAAAATATAAATCATACCTATAGTATTTGCAACTGATATGTAATATAGTAGTCGATAAGAGGTAAATTCATGACAATTTGGAGAATCGGGTAATTCTTTATATAATAATTTCAACTGGCTTTGACACTGGTTAAATTCTTCACGATCACCCTGCTCCAGTGCAATTCGTGCATTTGTCTCGTAAACATTCACAGTAAAATCGGTCCTTATGCACTGAATCTAAACACTCACTATACAATAGTTATGTTTCCAATCTTTAAAATTTCTTCTAAATGATATGATTATAAAATGTAAATATAAATAACACGTTTGGAGTGGCCAATCCAAAACATATCCACAACAATTTATTAGTTGACCATTCATTTATCATTCTTCCTTTATCAGTTTACCAGAAGCTTTGAATTTTGAATAGAAACTGAAAATTCTTTTTCGCTTTTCCGAAAAGTGGAAAATGTTCAAATTGTATAGTTTGTTCCATTAGATCAACAGGAATTGACAAAAATTTCAAATTATTAACAAGATTCAAAAACAAATCAATAAACTAAGCTATTTTAGCAAAAAAAAAAAAAAAAAAAAATGTGAGATATTCTATACTCTTGGAATATAACATGTTTAATGTTTAGTAGTAAATTGTACAGATTACCATCAAATCTTGACGGATACTTCTTAACTGATCATTTGCATATGTATAATCTCGATTAGTTGCATATTTCTGCTGCACCAATTTCAGTGCTTTCTCCAGTATCTTCAGTGGTCGTACCGTGCTTGGCTCTGGAGCCTAGAATAAAAAAAAAAAAAAAGGAACTATTCAGCAATTAAATGCATTTACATGTTATATATGAACGTTTGTGCATGTTTATAATGAAATAAATAACAATTAAAAAAGGTTTAATAGTATTATGCAAACAGAAATACCTCAAATCTTCACATTTGAACTATGATTAAAAGACTAAAGAACGAGAAACTAACCGAAGTAAGACGGAAGTAAGATTTTTCGATATCCATACATGTTCCAACAACGTTATCACTGGTCCCTTGTTCACCCTCCCGATCAATGTACCAATCTAGACGACGACGCATCTCTGTGAATTTTGCCCGCCGTGCTTCATCATCTCGAGCAAAACGTCTAGCACGTTCTTCACGCTGCGCGTTACTTCGTTCATCAGCTGCCCAACGTCCAGATTTTCCACTATTCTTTTTTTGTTTCTTCTTTTTTTTCTGCGCAGCGGTTTGTTTGAACTAAGGTCATTGAATTGAAAAAAAAAGAGAAAAATGTTTTTATGCCACTTATATTGAATGAAATAATGTGCTTGTTTTCAAATCTTTTCTTCTACTCTTTTTCAGCTTGATTTATATTGAAATTTTCACACCTAAATTTAACTTTGTAAATTTTTTTTATTTCATCGTAAAGAACTTTTACTAAGTATAAAAATCTTTTTTCCCAATAAAGTAAAACACACTTTTGGCTGCTCATCAACCGGATTATCTTCATCGGATGGAAGACGAACACGAGGGCTGAACGGCACCCGCCTTTTAGACTGTTCACGAAACGTAGGAGATCGTGAATCTCTCCGATGACTCATCTCATGTTTAGACTTCTTCAGTGACCGTTTCTCCATTTCTGTGATTGCATTTAAACCTTTTTTTAGTTGACTAGCTGGTGTCCAACCCATTTTCAACTCAAAGTTCACTTCGGAAGGCAATGGCTCCTAAATAAAATAGATAATCTGTAACTGGAAAAAAAAAAAAAAAAAACTGTGAATCTTTAGAAAATTTACTAAAATATGATTTTTCATTCCTCTTTACTTCAATATCACTCCTGATTAATGTAAACATAATATGTTAATGATAATCATATAAATATTAATGATCACATTAAAGATAACTTCGAGAAAACGTTTAAACTTACACGATCCCAGTCAACTGCTTTATAAGCACCAGACATTAACAGAGGATTAAGTTTTTGTTTGAAATATTCTTCTAACTTATCGCGATCTTCCTTCTTTTCCACTGCCATATACGAACGTTCCACATACCTCCTAAAAATATGAAAAAGTTCTTCAGGCTGAATAACTCTATCAAACGATCAGTTATATTTCAATGGATAATAACGTCCCATCTTCTATATTTCATATATAGAGACAAATCAACATAAAATTTCTATTTTTTCGACTGAAAAATTATTTTCAACAGAAGTAATTGGATGACTCAGTGCTATTCCAATTTCGCTCAAGCTGAGTAATTGATAGTTTTTGACTAAAAGAAAGATTAGATAATTTGCAAATGGTAAGTTCACTGAATAAAAAAACTGCAAAAAAAAAAAGTTACTTGACAGGATCCGGTATAGTTGGCGATTCCAATCCAAATGATTGAGAATTCTGATGAAAAGCTGGTGCAGTGTTAAGTCCTCGTGGACGATTAATTGAAAAACGTATGGGATGCTGTGGAGCGGTATTGTTTCGGCCATATTCTCCTCTTCCTGATCCTGATACTAGTGTTGATCTGTTCCCATTAAATCCAAACTGTCGTGGTTTAGCAGTAACATTTGACGATGCCCATGGGTTCATAAAATCTGGATGATAATTGACATTTGCTGATTGTAAATGTGTTCCTGATGGAGTAAAACCATAATTCATTCCTACATAAATCGAATTTTCCTGTGTTATACCATAAGTTTGGGATGGTTGTGGTGGTAACGATGATGTCAGTGATGACGATGATGACGATGGTGGTGGTGGTGGTGGTGGCGGTGGTAAACGAGGTAAAAATGGTGACATTCCAAGACTATGTTGTTCCATCCATGGATAATAATGCATTATTTGAGAATGTATATCAGGTTGAGTTTGAGAATGATATGATGTCATAGATGAAATGTTCGAAGAGGTGGAGGTGGCTGAAACGTTAACCTTTTTCAAGGCTTCCTGTGCTTTTTCCCAAGCTGCCGTCTGATCATCTCGTGGTGTTGACACTTCGATGTTAGCATTTTGGGGTGGCATTGGTATTCCAGCAATACAACTGTTATCCGCCGAATCAGGTATCCAAGTATATCTGAAATAAATCATACTTCTAGTCAAGTCCTATTGTAATATACGCTTACAAATTTCCTTGTCACAAATATAACTTTTCTTAATGCAAATTCAAATGAATTTCTTCAATAAATTTGAAGAAATAGTTTTTCAGTAAATTATTATACTGAACACAATTTTTAAATGAAGAAATATATCAAGAATTTCAAATTAGTTTAGTATTCCTACAGTGTCTGTATTATATAGTTCAGTCTAATACAAAGTTATTGTCAATTGTCGGAATGCTAATCATAGATTAGCAATATTGCTACTACCTTTGATCTTTAATGTTGCTACTACTTTGATCTGACGAAATTCCAATGTAATCGGGAAAATTACTCGGAAAATAGCATACGAAAAGGAAAATGATAGATATGCCTTTTTATCATTTTTTATTCCTACTCCAGACTCTGTTAAAACGCTAACTCATTTCAGTAATAACCAACATATCAAGTGTTCTCATTAAAACCAATAATCCAGAATATGACGGAAATGAGAAGGATACAAGAAGAAATGTAATAAAATTCTATTTTTAATAGAAAGCAATTTGAAATCCACAATAAAAAGAACAATTAAACTTTTTGCAAAAAAAAGCAATGGAAAAAACAAAGTTATAAACATAATTTTATATATTACAGTTATAGAATAAAGTGGAAATTAAACGATTACTTACGTTCCAGATGAATTATTGCCTGACACTGCTGATGATTTCGATGGTAATGATGTCATTGAAAGCGTCAAACTTGTTAAATTAGCACTTTGATCGTTCTAATTATTTAGCTGAAAGTGCTATGTCCAAATGTTACAACTTACCGTCAAAGGTTTATCTAAAGTAAATCTTTCAAAATAAACACTCCAAAAATTTAGTCACATAAATAACAGTGACATACACACAATTTGACGGGCCGCGTTTTAGAAAAGCAAAATTATCAAACTGATTTATTCGAGGAATTTTGTTGGTGGCATTTGGTGTAGTGTATATTAATTAGTGTTCTCATCAACTTTTAGGTTTTTTGACTTTTAGGTAAGTATTAGAAGGAGAGAGAATGCAGAGATAGTACATTGCTATGAAGAGGTGTAGGGAATGATAAGATGAGAAAATATGTGCTGCAGAGATTGAGAATAAAAGGAGATGAACGAAAGAAATTAAAGAGGAAACGATAGAGAAATTATAGGAAATTTAACGATAGAATAATTAGTTGTTGTAAATTGTAAGATTAGATGAAGTTTGAAAGATATTTAATTGAAATTATCAGGGTATAGACAATACTGTAACTTGAAATGGAGGAAGTAAGATGTTGATGAGAATTGTAACTTTGTGGTTAATGAAGCAGAGAACTTTGGAATTGATTAGTTAATAATGTTAAAATTATAAGAAATAAGAATTGATTTTTTACGTTTTCCTTTTAATGAAGTCTTTTTTTAGTTCGGTCATTTAATTTGATAGTATTAGTTTTGTTGCAGTTTATGATTAAATTATAATAATTCAATCATAAACGATAATAAATTGATTTTTAACGAATCTGTATAGAGTGAAGAGTATTAGTGATAATTATCTGTTTATTTTTTCTTTTTTTTTTCATAAATTCCACTCATAACGCAATGATTTTTCTTTTTTTCTAATTTTTTTTAAAAACTTTCTAGTTTTTAAGGAATGCCTTATGCTAATCAACCTCATGTTGCGATCACTGCCTTAAATGACGAAATTGTGCGATTCGTTTTAGAGGATACCGATTTAAGTGTTGCCAATTCGCTACGGCGAATTTTTATGGCTGAAGTACCAACTATGGGTAAATTTCAATAATTTTAATTTGCTCTGCAATATATATATATATATATAATATATAAATATATATATATATATATATATATATATATATATATTAATCTGTCGATTCATAATATATAAGGCGTGATTTGTAGATCGAATGATAAATGTTGATAATTTCTCTTTTACTTAATGTTCAAAAAAAAAAAAGAGAAATTAGATACGGGCATCTACTGCAAAACTTCAATTATTAAGAATACAAAATTGTATTAGTTTCTCATTAAATCATTTAATGACTGAAGTAAATAGTATATCATGCGAAAGAAGTTATTAGTGAAAAAGTTAGCTTAAATGAATGAATTAAATGTAAGTTAAATGAATGGATTTCATTAGAAGTAAGATGCATATTTTCAAAATGAACAAGGAATCTAGTCACATTTTCGACATTTTTTTTTTTTTTTTTTGTTTTCGTTATTTTTCTCATATTTTTCATAATATATTCTATCTGTGCTTCTAAAGTTTAATTTTAATGTAACTTACAGCAATTGATTGGGTACAAATTGAATCAAATTCAAGTGTCCTGCATGATGAATTTATTGCCCATCGTCTTGGTTTAATACCACTAACATCAGATTCAGTCGTAGATCAGATGCAATTTTCACGAGTTTGTGTTATCTATCTATTTGCTTACATGAATTACGCATATCATATATTAATGAAATATTGAAGCATAAGACATATAATGCTATAAAATGTTAACAATGAATGGTTTAGATTATTTATATACTTTTGAAATAATTTTTACTATTATCTAATCTATTTCATTTTTAGGACTGTCAATGTACAGAATTTTGTCAGTTTTGTGCAGTGGAAATGCGACTTCGGGTACGCTGTGACGATGAGGGAATAAGAGCAGTGACAACAGCTGATCTTGAAACCAGTAATCCAGATGTAGCTCCTGCATGTGGCGTACATATACGTAATCGTAATGCCGAAGAAAATGCCAGTGATGATATTCTCATTGTTAAGTTGAGAAAAGGGCAAGATATTGATATTAAATGTATTGCCAAAAAGGTAAACTATTAGTATTTAGTTACTGTAAAACTCAACTAACGTTTAACTGTAAATATTTTTCTATCATAATTCCTTATATTTTATTTGTACTTTATTATCAGTATATAGCTTTAATGTCATCACACATGAAAATTTTAGATTTTGAATTGTAATAATTAGTAATTTTTTACGATTGAAAAAATTACTTTTGTACAAAAATTCTTTGAGAAAAAATTTTAAGATTGATTTAAGCATTGACTTGATCAAGTCAATTTTAATAAATGAGATTACTTCATCTAAAAATTACTGTTCGATATTCGCTTCTGAAATCTTTTAATTTATCTGTTTTGAAATGAATATCATATTGTTATAGGGATTCGGTAAAGAACATGCCAAATGGAATCCAACTTGTTGCGTAGCATTTGAGTACGATCCTGACAATGCTCTTAGGCATACAATGTTAGCGAAACCAGAAGAATGGCCAAAAAGTGAATATTCTCAATTGGAAGATGATGAATATGAAGCACCTTTCGATCCGATGGCTAAGCCAAATAAATTTTGGTTTACAGTTGAATCTACTGGAGCTTTAAAGGTAGATAGTTTCTTTGTTATGATTCATTTCCTCATTTTTGAACAAAAAAGTTTGGACCAAATGATTTTTTTTGATCTGATGATCTTAAGTTTCTACTTTCAAGATCTTATCTTAGTTCCTATTTAAAAAGATTAGAAGAAATTCTTTTATTCAAATAATACAATTTTGATATATTAAACGTTAATGTTGCAGGCAGAAAATATTATTTTAAGTGGTATTTCTGTTCTGAAAAAGAAACTGGCTGACTTACAAAATCAACTGCAAAGAGAATTATTACAACAAGGACATGTTTATCATTGATTCAAGACATGTTCGTACTAGTCTTTGTTTTGTTTTAGCATTTTGTTCAATTTTTTTTTCAAACTTTTCCACACAAGTTAAGATCTCGTTGCGATGAAACATTGATAGATGTGAATTCGTTTCTAGATTTATGAATTAATTGTTTTTATGCTGTTTTATTGTTTTGAATATTTTGTACAAAATTTGTCAAGTCTTATTAACTTTGTTCATTTCTTTATTTTAATAAATAAAAAATTCCTTTTACTTTGTAGTAATATACTTTTGTTCCATGCGGAAAATGAAATGCAAAATTCATTTATGATTTTTTATAGAAAAGAATAAAGTGATCCTATGGGTTGATTTATGATGCCAATGATATACAGTAATTTTTGTAGTTTTTTTTTTTTTTTTTCCTTCCTTTTTCCATTTCCTATCAACAAATTTAGGTGAAATTTCAAATTACTGTTTAAATGACTCAATGTTTTGAGGTGAACAATTGAAAATTATTATGCAAAATTATTATGAAAATTATTATAGCAGTAGGATTTATATAAAAATAGATATAATATTAAAATTACTGAAAAAGAAAAAAAAAAAAATTGATTAGCTTTTGATAGATTGTTTTTTTCTTAATATTAGAAGTTTAGTTATTGAAAAATATCTATCCATACATACATTTCTTTTTTTT